GAGAGAGAGAGACTACACATCCAGATTAGAGGCCGCTGTCCTGTGTCCTGTGTCCTGGGATGTGTTAAACCTCTGAGGACTGAGTGGACGAACATGGCCGACACATTGAGGAGACTGACCAGCACCTCGTCCTTCAGCGTCTTACAGGACAAGCTGGAGAGCTGGCACCAAGATTACCATGTAAGTTCATCAATAACCAATGATCGACCTAAATCTGACCACAGCTCTTCATCAGTCACTCTGACTCCGGTTAGATCACAGGCTTAAATCCAGAATTACGAACCAAAACTTATATGTATTTGTACATTATGTGTGTTCCTCTAAAAATGATGGACGACTTATTTGAGTCCTCTCAGCTGGCTGTTGTTTCACTGCACATCGTAACAGTTTTATTTTCGTTATTATGTCAGCTGTAGATGTGATATGAAACGGTGTAATTTGAGAATACATGCAGTTGTTTCAAACAACAGTGAAGGAATGCACTTGTTTAGATTACATTGATTTCCCGGTGGTAGAGTTTGGTTGTTATGGACGCCGGTCGCCATGGCAACGGTTGGACTGTTCCAAAGATGTTTGACTTTATTGGTAGGATGGTTCACGTCCGTTACTTCCGGTAGAAGCAGTGCCTCGCTCATAAACCGGAAGTTGTTCCCTGGTTATAATACTGAAAAAAATGTGATGATTCATAAAAAATTAAACCTTTCATGGAAAACCGTTTTTCTTTGCAAACAAAAATACAAACCAGTCAACAAACAGACGAGTGAATGCACAACCTTCTTGGTAGAGGAAACAATCTACAGTTTGAAATGCCTAATGGTTTGTCATGCATGTCATCTCCCTGTCATCACGTCACCTAGCAATGTTTTATTCATTTAATACCATACTGTTGTAATTTTTCTTCTCCCAGGTCATTTCCTGTGACCAGAATCTGAACAGATGTTGTGACCTGATTGAATTAACCTCCAAGATCCAGGGCCAACTGTTTGCTATCCTCAATCTCACAGCTGCTGAGGGTAAGGTTTGTTTATACAGCATTAACCTGGTTATCATCACTGAATAATAAAACACATACTCTGTTTTTCATCTCATGAATCAGGTGGACGCTACGCAGGAGTGGACACTCTCAAAACACGCCTGCTGCCGTGGCTTAGTACCTGTTTCTCCATGGCAAAGCCCTCTGTCTCTAATGACACCAGTCTACAGCTTATCCAAGTGAGATTATCTCTTCCTATACGCTTCATATCAAAGAATCTCCCAGTAT